TTTGAGCCCTTGCTGATTTTGCAGGTTTGCCCACTTACAAAGAATGCAACGATCTATAACTTTAATCATATTTACATTCTAACAGTGAAAGACAGAATCCCAAAGAAAATTCCAGAAAATCACATCATATGAATTTATAAAAATTGATAACCATCTGATGAGGAAAAATAAGCATTCTTTGTAAGTGGGCAAACCTGCAAAATCAGCAAGGGCTCAAATACTTATTTCCCCCACTGTACCTTTATCCTCTTTAACTGTTCTTTAGGTCAGACACGTTCTCCCTGTAGTTCATCCGTTCTGTTGTTGACTATACTTCAAAATCCAGCCAGATGATTGGAGGAAAATGATAACCTTTGACTGTTTTCGCCACTTGAAACTGAATCATTTATCCACCCAAAACATCCAAAGTGAGAGATGCCCTTCGACATTCTTTTAATTTTAATCATACCTACACGGTTCAGGCTTCTTAAACAATGACAGATCCAGAGGCAGATCCTTTCAATCTTTGGCTGCAAAAACATAAATATACAAAAAACTTAAATGTAAAAACTTTTGGCGTAAAAACATCTCTTTCCATCTGAATCTTATAAAATGGTAATAAAAGGAGGTGTAATGAGAAGCATCCGGGGTCAGAGCCCCGTGATGCCTTTGGTCTGAGAAACAGTAAAAAGTAAAAACAGAAGTAAAAACATTGAACACTTGGCAGTGGAGCAGCTGAGGAAAGTCATTATTAAGAAATAGTCTAATAGACGCACTGATTTATTTTCTTAACCCTATAACGCCAAACGTATCATATCTGATTCATACGGTTTCTGAAATGTTTTGTGTCTGACTCCTTTTGCATAATTTAATGGTAAAAACTTTGCTCTAAATCCTATTGAACACAATCAGATACACCTGATAACAGGGGGCAGAAGATACACAAAAAATAATCTGGATTTATCGCATAGTAATAAATTATTAATATTAAAAATGTGTTTTTGTTTTTTCTTTTTATATATTTTGTTAAAAAGGCCAAATAAGGAATTCAAAAAAAAAAAAAGTGATTTTCTGTTTAGTTTTATTCTTGGATCAGGCTTTAAAGGGTTAACCCAGGTGGTTAACATGTTGGGAAATGAGCCAAACTTCCAGAGAAAAGCAGGACGGGGCTGGAAGAGTTGAGGTCAGAGTGAGAGTGGGCAGGAATCATGTCTGGTGGTTGAAATGTGATTTACATACAGAAAAAATAAACGAACGCCATCATTAACACCTAAACAGAAAAAAACAAGGTTACAACGGGCTAAGGAAAAGCAACCGTGGACTGAGGATGACTGGATTAACTTCATATTAATTTAAGTTATGTCCTTTCTTGGTGAACTTTAAAAGAGCTTTAAAATGTAAAATGATAAAATCTTACGCTGTTATGTAGATCTATATATGTACTATGTACTTTAATCTGAATTTGAAGAAATCCTGGTAGGTTGTAAGGTAAAAAATAGGGTAGGCAAGAATAAGCTTTGCTTCGGCCTATTCCTTTTTTGGTAAACTGTGGGTTTGTCTATTGTTTTTTCTTTTTTTCTTTTGTTGTTTTTTGTGTTTAATGTGGACAATTTACCAAAATAAAGTGATTGATTGATTGATTGATTGATTGATATTCAGTGACGAATCTCAAATCTGTACAGTGCACTGATCTGTTGCTGTTTTTTATTTGAGCTAATTTAACCTTTTTAAAGATTTGTTTGTGTTCCCCCCCCCCCCAGGTGAGTCCACTTTGAGTTCAACACTTCCTGATATCACCTTTAAACCTCTCACCTCACACCAGGAGGATAGAGTCTTTAGTCCAGTGTTTTTCAACCCCTGGTCCTCGGTACACTAGTGTGCCGTTAGTGATGGTCAGGTGTAGAAAATCATCCTATTTCACCTCATTGGTCTAAAAAGACTTTTTGATAAGGAATTAATTATCTGCAAATAATATTCCATTTCTGAGTGTGTGTGCTGTTCTAGTGACTGGTGGAGTAATCATGTAATAATTCCTTATGACTAGATTTTGTATATAATTTTGTATATTGAAGTGGACATGTTAAGTGCAATTTGAAAGAAGAAATATAAAATATGATAACAATACATTTTTGTGTTTATTTGAATCCTATTCAAGACACTTAAGATAAGAAAGAATAAGATAAGAATAACTATAGTGTTACTATAGGCGGATACAGATTTGTTTGACATTTTTGGTTGGTGGTGTGCCTCGAGATTTTTTTCTATGAAAAAATGTACCTTGGCTCAAAAAAGGTTGAAACACACTGGTTTAGCCTGCGTACCGATAGTTTGAGCCGGAGGTTCCCCGGCGGATCCCCTTGATCATCTCCTGGTGCGTGATCCTGAACTCTGCTCCGGGAAACAGCAGCGTTGCCATGACAGCAGCCTTGGAGTGGGTGTGGATCACCGCCCGCGCCTCTTTATTTTAACAAAGGAAAAGCAGATTTAGGTTTCTGAATCACGTCTTTTGGTGCTTATTCAGCAGAACGTGGCAGAGCTTTACATGGCAAAAACGTTAAACTTCTCTTTGGCTTTGAGGTGATTTTCTTTTCCAGACTGAAACTTAACCAAAGACTCTGTTTTCCCTGTAACTGCTCATGATCTAGTACTAAGGAATACTTAATAAAACAGGTTTGGAAAGACAGTGGAATGCAGATTAGTTGTCTTGAAGATGAAAGAAAAACATTTCTGGCACCCTTTGAAATATATTCATTTTTCTCTACAACTTTCTGGATCCAGACAAAAACGTGCATGGCTAAGATTCATAAAAATCTGGGAAATGCCTTTGAGGATGCTTCAAACTAGAATAAGCCTTATATCTAATGATGACTGTAGTGGAAATAAGTTATGCATGAACTACAGATTTGGCTTTACAGACCATGATAAAGTTCACTTTTTAACAGGAGATTTAATCTCACACACACATAAACTAAAACCTCCCCCCATGGACATGGACAATACCTAGTTTAGCTTTGTCTTCAACTCAATTGTTTCTTTTTGCAATATTCATTGATGTTTCTTTTGTAATAACTCTGTGCAATAATATGTATATATATGCTCTTACCCTGTATATATCTAGCTCTTAGTTATAGAAAACATATTTATTAAGTAGGAATAAGGTCTTAGCTCTGTCACACTGGTAGCCAAGTAATCGACATTTCGTTGTTAAGATTCACCTTGTGTGTTTTTTGTACAATGACAATAAAGGAAGTCTATGTCTAAGTCTAAGAATGTTGATTACTTGGCTACCAGTGTAACAAAGCTAAGGCCTTATTCCTACTTAATAAATATGTTTTCTATAACTAAGAGCAAAGAGCTAGCTATATGCAGGGTAAAGAAGTATGTATGTACATATATATTGCACTGAGTTATTGCAAAGAGAAACATTAGGTGAAGACAAAGCTAAACTAAGGTGTGTGTATTTTCCATGTCCATGGGGGGTCTAAGTCTAAGTCTATTGTTTCTCCCAGAAATGCTGAGGAGTTTATACTAGTCTAAACTACTTCCAGGCTCCCAAATGAGGAAATTAAACGTATAAAAACATGTCGAGTTGCAACAACGCAGAGCGTTTAGCGATGATAGAGCAGGAAAGTGAGTCACTGGTTTGGTTAACGGGATTATTAGTAACGGGCAGAGACAGAGGTGGGATAGATGACTAACCTCTGAGGGTGAAGGCGTTCATAAACAGAGGCGTGCACTGACTCTTCTTTAACTTCTTCCAGGCGGGAGGACAGCTAACATCTCTCTCCTCCATATCACACACAAACATGTCGTCTGGCTGAGGGGAATAAATCAGGAATGAGGAAAAAACACGTCTATTTATTGAGCTGTGCAATATTTACAGTGGGGGAAATACGTATTTGAGCCCTTGCTGATTTTGCAGGTTTGCCCACTTACAAAGAATGCAACGATCTATAACTTTAATCATATGTACATTCTAACAGTGAAAGACAGAATCCCAAAGAAAATTTCAGAAAATCACATCATATGAATTTATAGAAATTGATAACCATCTGATGAGGAAAAATAAGCATTCTTTGTAAGTGGGCAAACCTGCAAAATCAGCAAGGGCTCAAATACTTATTTCCCCCACTGTATGTTGTAAATAATCCATCCTGATTGTACACACCTCAGATCTCTGTGTTACTCCCTTGTACTTTTATTTATCTTTATTGTTTATACTTTATGCACCTTTTCCTCCTTGTTTGCACCTTCTTCTTCTATCACTAAACTTATGTGTGACCAGTGACTCTCCACTGTGAGATCAATAAAGCTGATCTTATCTTATCTTATCTTAATATTTGAGTTTAGAGGCAGCTCACCTGTATCCTCTCCTTCTGGACTCCTGAGGGGGCGATGTAGATGTGCTCTCTGGGGTTCACAGAAAGAAAGAGAACATATTAACCCTATAAAGCCAAATGTGTCATATCTGATCGGGTTTCTTTTGGATGTGAGACTTTCTGCATCATTCAGTGGTAAAAGCTTTGCTCAAACCCCTGTTGTACACATTCAGATATACCTGATAACAGCCAGTAGAAGACCACACCAACATAGATTTATGACTTATTGCACGCTAATTTGATCAAAATGATTTCTGTTTTTTTCCTTCATATGTTGTTGAGGGGCCAAAGAAAGACTTCAGACTAAAAAAATCCAATATTCTTCATATTTTTATTGGATCAGGCTTTAAAGGGTTAACATCCAAGACCAGAAAACCAGAGAGTCGGTTTGTGTGGAGTTTGAGGAAAAAACAAACTGCTCTGATTTCACTCTGTCTTCAGAGGAAACGTTCCCGTGTGGAATTAATATAAACTGTGGCCAGAAATGGGAACTAGCACTGTGTTACACTAAAGCAAAAACAAACAGAGGAGGCTTTTCCAGTCTGAAATCCCAAACTAAAACGTATCTCAGCTTTGTGCTCTTTTGCCTCCTTTAATCTGAATGCTCCACACAGAGAAAACGCATATTGGACGGGCTTAGTGTTAACTAGGAAGGGAATAAAGACCCAAATTAAATGTAAATAAATGTAAAACTGCGATATTTAACAGATGGCCTCATTTAGGCCCTGAAAGGCTTTGTAATTATCTTCTTTGGAGCCTTTAGATCCCCC